TATATCAGACTTTGGATGGACAAAAAGACTACTTTCAAGGGAGGAGGAGATGAATCCTTCACGAATACAAGTGTTTACACTGATACTGTTCACAGCCTCCTTCGAAACAAAGAAATAAGAGGTTACAATGACTGACATTCAGTGGCTACCGACAGGAACACTAAAGACGATTATACCAGTTCCAAGAGTGACTGTAGTCGAACATTGATAAGTAACCAGCAAACAGTTTGATTAATCTTATGTGATAGCGCCGGATACTAGGATATCATGGGACTAAATTAACTCGGGAAACGAACGAAAAAGATGAGAGGTTTGCTAACCTCTGTACCTTTACCAATCTGTTCGTAGGTGGTGGCACATTTTTACACAAACAGATACACAAAGCACATGCGTTTCACCGGATCGGACTACACAGAGGAGTCTTGGACACTACGGTGTGCCTGAGAAGGTAGTCAACATTATGCTGAAATCCCACGATGGAGTCAACTGAGAAATCTTGTACGCAAGATGGCTCACATGTTCCTTTGGAGTAAAGACTGTCGTCAAGCATTATTGCTTACTCTCATTCTTTCTCTTACTCCTGTTATGTCGACTTCGCAGATAATCTAGCTCTTCTATCACACATGCTACAACAAATGCATGAGAAGGTGACCAGTGTTGCGTCAGCCTCTGCCACAGTAGATGCACACAGATACAATGGACCTGGATTTACCTTTCATAGATTCTCAACCAGCAACGGTTCCTCGCAACGCAACCTCCGTAACTCACACAGAATGTCGTACTGTACACACCAGAGTCTGAAACATCATCAATAATTTTATGTGAAAAATATTAGCGCTCCATAAATAGTCAGTGTAACTTGTGAAATATATTTACTGAACAGAACAATCTTTTACACAAAATATGTTAGCAATTTAGACACTCCGGTATTTTTTGTACATTGGCATGTCTCTTGTAACACGTTGTTTTTTGGGAATGAATTATTATTACTTCCATAGTCATTATTGGTATTATAACACAGCATGTACCGGTCTAATCACACTTGACTTGGAAGCTGTGGAAGATGTCGAAACTTTACGAGCCTGAGCAGCATAACTGATAAACAAGTTGGATACGATGCAGGCGGTAAAACACTAATTGGTAAATCAAGGACGGTATTTTTACGTCGTCAGAGTTTTCCAGACAAATGTTAAGACATTTCTTCTGTATGGCAGAAATTCGGAGAACGAGGAAATCATCACCAAGACTAAGTAAATGAATTTTCATGGTAATCACCTATTTAATTCAGGGGCTCATTCACTTCAATACATATATATCTGTACATTTTAATTCTGTCCAATCGCTCATCGGCATTTTGCTTCGTATGCGTCTGGTCACTGATCAGTGCATTGTTACAATAAATGTCTTCAATGCTTTGTATTCTTATTCTGAATGTTGAGCGCTATCTAGTAGCAGTTATCAGGACGAGCAAAGTGCGAAGTGCAGGAATATACGGAATATCCATCACTAGAACCTAATATTCTGTCATTATCTGTCCTACTGTGGGAATCGTGGATGCTGACTACGCAAAAAGTTTGAAAACTATTTGAACTACGCTGAGGGAACGATGCATATTTATTATTAGGATATGGAGTGATACGCTATGTGTGACAATAGTATTGTATGAAATTTCTCCTTAAGTAATGGCTCTTCAACCAGTCAAACCAGTAGTCGAGTCTTAACGGAATGCGATAGACTGTTAGGTTATTATTTAGTTAGGCGCTTGCCGAAGTCACAGTTAGTATGCATTGTGGATGGATTATAAAAACTATTATTCCATGGAATAAAAGTCACATAACAGCCCATCTTTAGAATCTTCATTATATCATTATGATAATTCTATCATACTTTTACACTGAATTCACTTCGTTTATAATCCTACTTTGGTAGTGTCTCATGTGTAAACCTGTGTCATAAACTATTGGTCATGTTCTTAAAAATGGTATCTGTATTCTATGTCACAAATACATTTTTATTACGGAATATATGTAGGTGAAAGATACCGTTAATTCAATGTATCATTCGCCAGTTAAAGTCAAGTTAAAAAATTTGACTACCATTCATTGTAAACGATAACATTCTGCGTCTAGATAAAAAAAGAAACGATTGGGCTTTCAGAGACTAACTTCTATCTAGGTTTTGGGGCTTGACAACCCATAATATGAGGATCTTCCGAAATTAATAGTTCTCTGTTACCTACCTTCAGTTAGAAACGGAAGCGATCTAAGATTAAAATTTCATGTCATGAATAATGAAACGAATTCGATAACATCTTATTTCCTTGCCCAATATAGAACTAGTTATCTTAACATTCCTTACGGAAATTTGGGAAACCATTTTCAAACAATTTATGATTAGAATTTTTTCTGATTAAAAAACGAAACTGGAGCTCTAATAAAGTCAATTTTCGATTTAAACAAAAATTAAATCCTATAACATGTTAAAATGTAAGAATGAGCAAAAGAATACCGATTTCCTACGTGTATTACCGAAGATTGAGACGTCTGATAAAAAGATTAATTGGATATTGTTCATTTTCGCGCGCTTTATAAATCTCTGATCAGGTGATTTTTAGAGGTCTTTTCAAGTATATTTTGTAATGTGATGCCTCCTTGGGGATTGGCAAAGAAGCCTGTAAAGTTGTTCCTCAACTTTTCATTCGGACAGTTTCTGTCTCAACCTTTGGAGGATGATCAAATCATAATAACTTCTAATGGAATTGGTTGTAAAGATATTTACTTTAACATAGATGTAAGATGTTCCGTTATAATAGATTTTTTTCTAGAAACTAAATGCACTGTTATCTGAAAGTGGAATCCCCGTGGTTTTCTGCGTGGCTTATATTGCTGAGGTGATTATTTGCCTTCCATGGAGCGTCGAAATCAATGGGATCGATTTTGTAATTCAAGCGCTACCAGAGGTTTCTTCCCCATCTGGAAGTATGTGATTCTTCATAATACCCTACTGTTTTACAACGTTTCAATGAAGTACTGATTTACGTGACTTGCATTTTTGTAAGGTTTAGTGGTGCAAAACTAACTTATTTGAAGTAACTCTATCTTTCACCACTGTTTAGTTATCTCAAAGCCCGGTCTAGATTTCGTCAATTAAAGTATTTTGTTGAAATAAAGCATACTGGCTGATTTATTCGATAATTTTGATTCAGTATCACTTGCAGTTATCTATCGTCTAGTACCGGTCATTCTTGTGGAGCGTAGACTAATCATTGTCCAGAAGCATAGTCCGAATGTACTGCCTATTAATACTGAAAAATCAGTGGTCCTTTTTTATCTCTGGGTCGGTTCCCGGCACCTTTTAACTTTGGAAACGACGCTTGTTTCCGGCTTCGAGAACCAACTAATAGTTTCTATCTTTGACCGTGATACTTGGTCATTCATTTTGTGAAAAAAAGGAACAAAAGAATCCACTCAAAAGCACCTATAACTGAATACTGGCAATCCACTAATATTCTTTATTTCTGAAGGTCACGTCCCATCTATAAAAATAGAAGAAGGCAAGCTACTGCATGTTATGCTCCTCCTTTAGTTGGCTAACAGCTATTGTGTCTGCATCACAAGGTATGCGTTTCAGCAAAAGCCTGCGGATTCCAACGTACTGAGGCTAATAAGGCTTCCAGGATAAGTGCAATGGATAACATACCTAACCATTTAACTCCATATGACTGATTAAGACGTTGATGCAGACAGGTCCTGCATACTGGTTAGTGTACTTCTCAGGCATGCCTTTTACTGACACAATACCGGTTGATCTACGGAGTTAAACGATACTTCAAGGTCAAGTAATGCAACTATAATTGGGAGTGGGTAGATCTGTCTGTTCCATAATCTGGAGAAATGCGATTGTTTGCCCTACACATCTACGCCCAGGTGTGAAACCACAATCGGATAATTACTTGAGCTAACATTTTAGGCACTCTACTTTCTATGTTCTATCTCAAGAGCTCTTCAGTCTTTTCTTATAAACTGAAATAAACAACATAGATTCGGGAACATTTCATCTCCTAAGTTCATCATAATTTGGTTTATGCCACCACGTAGTCTCAGTAAAGTTCACACAGTTAATGTCACCCAGTGCCATATATGACTGATACTTAAAAATAACAATTGTACTAAGTATATTTCTTTGGTTATATCCTGTAAGCTGGGTGATTAGAGCAGGAAGCCTTCATTGTCATTCTGAATAACGTCATTGGATCATGCAAGAGTCGTAGTTCGTCATGAAAATATTTAGTAGATTGAAATAAAATATTTAAAATTTAAAATATGTAGTATAGCGTACCCAAAAATTGTAAGATTATTTGTTCACATCTGTTTTGAAATAAATTTTTGAGACCTAATATGTCAAAGATAACATTCGCGTTACTCCAGCCTGTAAGTCTTCCATACGCAACTGTCTAAATAGTTGATGGAGATAAACACGATGAATCTTAAACGGGAACCTTGAGCAAGATTATGTAAGTAGTCCATCATTTCAAAACATAACTATCTAAGGGTTCCTGATTTACTCTTCGTGTTTTATTCTTCTCTTTCACTAGTTTTTTTCATTCTTTCAAATAATCTAGAAATAATACTGATATATTATGTTTACTTTCCTCGTTAACTTGTTCGAACACGGAGAAACGCGGAGCATCCTTTCAGAGCAATAAAGTGTATATACATGAACCAATTTCTGATCTCCGTCAACCCATAGTTTCTAATATTCAGTTCTTACTAATTATTATTATCGAATTTTTACATGTGTTGCCCCTGGCTTTTGTCATGTGTAACACCGTAGGGGTCAATATAAGCATTAGACAGAAACGAGGGAAAACCTGGAATGAAAAATAAGGACAATACTTAATTTAAGTTGACCTGAGGTCATTTTAAGTCTCCAACTATCGACTGTGGTTACCTCCCACTGTCTCTAAACGAGAGGTCCTCACCTTACTACATATCCCAGAGCAAAAATCACTGTGTTATACTCATACCACATAATTTGTTCAAAATAAACTCTTTTGTCTCTCTCTCCTGAATTTATTGCCCACCTCCGATTCAAGTTACTTAAAATCGGCGTAACTTTGCTAAAAGCTGAAAATTTGGTATTCTAATGAAATTTGACTTCTCTTACTCGAACAGTTCAGAATTCAGAATTGGTTATTTTAGTGTTTGCACCATGATAATCGTGTATTTTAAAATGTCAATTATTAAACTCAAAATATAGACATTCCACACTGTGCGTTTGACATTTAAATAAAAAAAGTCTATAAACCCTCGTCGTTAAGCTTGTTAATCAAGTTCTATAGTTTAAAGCTTTTTACTATTAATAATTTATCTTTTTAATTTCAGCGGATGAACTGTTCAATTCAATGATATCTAGTGTATCAACTGCAGCTTTCGCTGTCGCTAACGCGGCAAGGAATTCTACTATCCCCGAAAATTTTTTCGATGAAACATTCGCTCGTACACCAGATGATGTTAATCCTAGTGATAAAGAAAAACTTCCGAAAGGTTTACAAGAACAGGCTTATCAGTTTCTTGAAAATCTTACAGCTGCTGCTGAAACTATCAGTGTCGGTACAAAAGGTGCAAGTTCCTACGTTGATCAGGACAGTAAACAAAGGATTGCTCACATGATCGATTCATGTAAATATTATTATTGCCTTTCATGGATGATTTTTATGCTTGATTATAATTTAAAAGTAACCATACTGAATTTATGTTTACTTTTCTTCTAAAATAGTTTTCGTCTTCATTAAGCTATACTATCATTAACGTTGTTGCTGCGAATATTAATATGCTATAATTTGTTGGAACTTTCAATAACATATACCACGTGAACTCACCTTAGTGGTTTATTCTATCAGGCTTTGAAACCACTTTGTAGAATGGTGGAAGATCACTCTAGATGACTTCCTGAGTATTTTAATATTCTTTCTTAATTGAAAAACTAGTTCAAAAAGTGCTGATCAATTTATTGAATAGTGTTACAAGACGAAGTTTATTAGCGCGAATTAGACGTCTTTTGATAAAGTGCAACTTCTCAGACCATGAAGTTTATTATAAATATAGTGTTAGATGTAATTTACATTCAAAATGTACGATAGTTTTATTTCTGTCTACAAGTTTTCCAAATGAAAGATGGTTCATATATCAAAATCAGATTGTTAGCGAAAACTTATATGATTTTTTCTGTTATACGATTTTGAACCAGTATGCTCTGGATTTTTAAACACTTTCATCTGTTGTATCACTGGTCACATATTCACTTTGCCTACTCTTTGATATGAATAACTTTCGCATAGCTAGTTTCATGTTAAGCTTACTGCATCAGAATCCTGTATACCAGGTTCTTGAATTGTACTATACAAACAACGTTTTCATCTTGTTTATTCAAACAGTAATATCATGTTACTTCTCTTGATTTTACTACTACAGTACAGTTTACTCATTTCAAATTTACTTACTTTACTTATGCCTGTCACCCCCAATAGAGCATAAGTCGCCGACCAGTCATTTCAAATTGTTCATTAAAAATAATCATTAATATTGTTATCATTTTCATTACGCATTAATTAGAAGTATTACACTGAATTCTTAAATAATAAAACTTTATTAATGAGTTTTTCTGTATGAAAAATTTTTTCAATAGACAAACGAATTCTATGGATATGTGATAAAATCACACCATGTTCACAACACTAGGCACAATCTTTTAATAACATCATCATTAATGCCTTTTACAATTCTTCATTTAGTTTTTCTAATAAACCATTAAGTCATATAGATCCACTTTTTTCCTCTTTATAATTCTAAAAGAATATTAGTGTTTCCTTTATCAAACCAATAGTTATAGAATTGTTTTACTTTTCTTTATTAAAAACATAAATATTGGTACAAGTTGGCACCAAAATATATATGCGCCACACAATAAAAACGCGATTATGAAAAGACAGAGAGTATAACAAAAAAGTGGATAAAAATTCAGGTATGAGAGTTAAGTAATAGTCATAATAGCGGTAGAAACAGTTCAATTTAGGGAAATATACAATCAGAAAAAATCATTTGAGTTAAAGAAATTACTTTTACTTTTGTGAAGAAAATGGAATAAAGTTTTGACAGGTCCTTCACTGGCTTCTATTCTGAGCCGTCTGATCACATTTCAAGCCATTGAGTTGTACTACTCTTAAAATCCCAATCAGGGAGTTGTGAAGAACCAGCAGAGGTCAGTCCTGTACTACGTTTTCTCATACAGTAACACCATCTCATGCACTGACCATTTCCACTTTTCCAAACGAATCTCAGCTTTAACAAATAATGCATGGTGTAGAATTCGCTGGGTCGAAAGTTGATAAACTCCAAATTTACATTACTCCAATTTACATTCATTTCTCAAATTTAACTATGATGCTATTTATGGTTTATACACCATTTAATCTGCTTGCCAACAATTTTTGAGCATAGTTCTCTTAAAACTTACTGTCTACTTCAGCTAACAATATTCTGCATTGACCATCATCAGTAATTACACAATCATTCGCTGTAAATTTTCTAAACGTTATGCGTACATGATTATTGATTAATATGCTGCGTATATCACTAGCATTCTGTTTTCTATTTTAATATGACATTATATGAGTGTTGTTTTTATTTTCTACATTACATTTTATAGTGATTGCACAAACTAGTATAGTTCTACGTGATGTTAGTATTCGTATTGAATGTGAACTAAGACTACCTGGAATAGATCGTGCCTCAGGATTAACATTAACCATTAAACATTTATCTATCTCGAATCAGTATAAAACAGAAGAAAAACAACAACCAAGTCAATCGAATACATCTGGTAATGGTCGTTGGTCATGGTTATGGTGGTGGCAAGGTTCAAACAATAACACTTGTAAGATTTGAATGTCTCTTTTTGATTGTATTTATGCACTAAATTGGTTTAAGCATTTTATGTTGAGTGAGACATACTTAAGTGGTGCCCGTCAGGGCTGTCCACTCCTTCCATTCTTGTTTAATTTTATCATAGACATGCTCTTAGAAATAATCTTATCCTCGTCTGAATTTTCAGGAGTAGACCTTTTACCAGGAGGCTCGCTTGTCGACTTAGAATATACCGATGACATTGTCCTACTTGGTGAAGACGCTGACAAAATGCAGAGTCTTCTGACTACCCTAAGCAACAATGCAAGCATGTTCGGGATGCGGTTCTCACCCTCGAAATGCAAAATGTTGCTTCAAGATTGGGTTGGGCACCTGAACTAGTGATAAGGTGTGAAGTAGTCGAACGTGTGGACCGCTTCACTTATCTTGGGAGTCTCATCAGTGATGATAGCCTGGTGACTGACGAAATCTCAGCACGGATACAGAAGGGTTGATCGGCTTTTGTCAACCTGCGTCACTTATGGCGTAGGCGAGATATCCGTTTGCTAACCAAAGAATGAGTGTACTATGCATCAGTTCGCTCCGTCCTACTGTGCGGATGCGAGACTTGGCCATTAAGAGTAGAGGATATTCGTAGGTTACTAGTATTCGATCACAGGTGTATCCGAAGCATTGCTCGTGTATCATGGGACAACCGTATAAGCAATGCTATCGTTAGGAAACGAGTTATAGGTAAGGATGGCAAATCAATAGATGAAGCATTAAAACTTCATCATTTGAGTTGGTTGGGACATGTGTTACGTATGCCCAACCACCGGCTGCCTCGACGAGCTATGTTCTGTGGTCTAGGAGTATGTTGGAAGAAAGCTAGGGGCGGCCAAACTAAAACATGGCAGAAATCCATGAAGTCACTGACAAGTGGACTGAGTTGTGTTGGTAGATGTATGCTACCTGGTTGGGGTCCGCGAGACGAAAGTCACCAGTGGTTAGAGACCTTGAACGACATGGCTCGTAATCGTTTGCGATAGCGCAGGTGCATCGACTCTTTGTGTTCTCTCAAACTCTAAGCTTTTGCATTCCTCATAATCTCTACCTTTCTCCTTCTAAATTTGTCTTATATCGAACCATATCTTCGCTCCTTAATCTTCTTCATTACTGCTAATACTTCTATTATTGCTATCACTCTTGGATTTCAACTGACAGTTGCGTCTCTGTGCTGATGGGGCATGGCAAGCTGGACTGATGTACTCACGTACGAAGTTCTGCGTTGTATCTGTCTGTCTGTCTGTTGAGTAAGACAACATTTTGACTTATATGACGGAGACTGAAGAAGAAGTTATCACTAGTTGAATAAAATTATTTTCTCTCTTCATACACATTATATTGGTCTGTTACACAAGTGTTCAAGTAATTACATAGCTAAAAATTTACTGAGTTGTTTAGTTTGGTAAAAAAATCATTGAAATAAGTATTATCTTTAACTGTTTTAAAGTTTGGAATTAACTACTGAGGCAGGTATTTAGCGTTCGTTATTTTTGGTATATATATTCAGTCTCTATTCATTGATATATAATGTATTCAGAATGTTGGGTTTTTTGTTATTTTAAAGTAAAGAGTAATAACTATGTACGATGGTGAAGTGTATTGTTTTAGCAATGTTGACTAATTATCAGTAAACAGTTTACATTCATGTGGTTTGAATCTAAACGATTATTTAGTATACTATCTTAGAACTTAATGCCAAATTCTGTTTCAAATTTCACAATTGATTAGATAATAAGATACATTTTTATGATATCACTTGTTCTTTAATTCGATCAGTCCAAAGGATACTTTATTTCGTTTGTTATGACAAAAGTAATAATTATTATTATTATCATTACTATCATTCATACTAATACGATCGAGTATTTACTTGTGGTAAACAGAATGACTATTGAACTACATACTCTCTCTCTCTCTGAATAAACTAATCTAACAACATTGATGATTTTTTTTCAAAAACCAAATAAATCAGTTTATTCTACTCATAAATATTAGTAGATAATAAGATATCAGAATAAAAAATGAACTATAAAATATTCATCATTGTGAATGTTTACAAAAATTGTGTAATTTTTATGAAATTTAATAAAACAGTAATAGCTTATTAGTTTGATGGTATTGTTTTGAATATGTACACTCGAATGTTTGTTTGTAGAGTTTTTGTAAATTATAAAATTCAGTAGCATGATTTCGATGATTGTTTTTATCATTTCAAATACTAGACCATATAAGTTGTCCCAATAAAACATTAGATTTTAATCGTCATTATGAATAGTAGTATCAGCGCTTACTTTATGTCCAACTTGTATTATTATCCTTCTATCAATCCATAAAGTCATTGACTGTTAAACGGGCCCATGTTTATGTAGACTACCATGTTAAGATCCTCACCAGCATCCTATCTAAGGATTAGAGAGGTTGGATGATATGGGTCAAAATTAATATCAATGGTTTAGATATATTAACTCTTTGTCTACCGTCATATCTTGAATTTTAGAAATTATCTAGTACTTTTACATATATTCTATGCCTATTCTTTTCTATTACCATTTGCACTGTTCTTACCTTTATTACTCTGGTAGTAATTTCGTCTCGTTATATTGACATAATGCGATAACTTGATACAATTTATATATGTTCCAGCTTCTATGTTGCTCATGACTGACTGTCGTTATTCCCTCCCAGTATTACTGTCAATGTTTACTGTTTTGCGAAAAATCAGAAATTTGAAGTGATCAAACAAAATGTAATTTTTTAGCTATCTTGTTTTCTTTCCAGCTCCCGGAACCAGCTCAGCGTCATCATCATCATCTGCTAATTCTATTTCTACACCACCTGGAAGCTTATCAACTATGTTACATAAAATTATTCACCTGGAAGAAGCTGACTTATTTTGGGATTTATGGAGTACTGCCGGTCAAGTACAAGGTAGTTCAAGCTTGTGCAGTTCGCCAGATTTAAGCCAGCCTCCATGCTCTCCACTTCCTAACAAGGTAAATATTGTAAAATGTGACTTCTTTACAAATATACCTTGGTGTTGAATTTTTTTTGTAATCTTATTTTGTTTTGCTACCTAAATACATTTGATCACACTGAATACTGTTGGATCTTATCATTTTTATAGTGATTATGGTCTCATCTAGTGACATACTATTAATACTTACCAGTCTATGTAAGTGTTTGTCTCAAGTGACTGTGAAGCCTTATTTATTTCGTAAAATGCTCCTCTTAATCTTCGGTATGACACAGTAAACCATTTACATAGTTGTATAAGTTTGAGCTCGAACCAAAGTAAACTGAGTAAAGTTTGTATCTATAACCTAATAATTGACTGTCTGTACCACTTATTGATAAGCAATCTTTCCAGTCAGAAAACAGTAGACACTAATTCTTGTCATTTTTTTTTAAAAAAACTGTCAGACTGAATTGTTTGTTCTGTTATATAGTTGTGAAACGCTTTCCCTGAGGCTTTTATTGTTCAAGGCAAGTAAATTAAACCATGTTTTTACTCTGTTAGTGTTTTATAAAATTAAAAACATTGCTACCTCATGTTTCACACGTATGTATATTTTCTTACCTGATTATTCGGGAATTATTTATTCGTTTTACGTAAAACTACTTCAATCACTTATTCTAAAACCATGTATTTATTATACCACATAGATGTACCGATATTACAATATGTCTGTCTCTCTTGCTTCTACCTGGTTAATTAGCTAGGTTTAATGGATTAGTTCTGTTAAAACTATCAAAACTCGATTAAAATATTTGATTGTATAAATTTGCTACTGTTCATTTCGTGTGATTACTGTTAACTTTTTGCATACAATACTGCTTATATTTCATTCTTTATACATTTGTAGACATGTGGCCCAACAGCTGACACACTTGTCTCATCAGCTAAACTCCTAACATTGTCTGGTTCTGAGCATACAGCACGATTAAGTTTACGCGTTGGTTCTGTATTAAATGTATCACGCAATCCTATACCGTCAAATATACAATCCGATGATCTTTCACGAACAATTCATACTAACAGTAACAACTCTAATGCTAACACGTCTAATATGTCCGATTTTCAACTTCGCCTACATGTGGATTTGGGACCTATTGTTGCTTGTGCTTATCCTAGTCAATTTTATTGGCTGCATATGATGATCGGTCAACTTGTACATATTTATGACGATTATGTAGAACGTAGTAAAAAGTTATCCGAACAAACTAAACTACAAAATGACATGACATGTTTCTATTCAGATTTATTAACAAATCATAATTTATCAAATATAATAAACGAAAATGGTTGTATCAATGTTATTCCATCGAAATTGGTAAGTTCTGCCTGTCTATTCAATCCAACCTGTTTTAAGGAGGAAGTAAAAGTTAAATTAAACTCTTGAACGTATAGCATACTACTGAATATGCTTTAAAGCTTTCTTCTGCCAGTATCATATTTCAATGTAAGAAATCGATCCAAATGGGAAATTTTAATCTGATTCATGATTGCTTACTGAATGGATTAGCTGAATAGGTGTCTGAATAGTTTGTTGATTGAAACGGAGATATCTAACCCAGTACTTAATTAGATAGTAATATAACATCCGTTGATTGGTAAAGAAATTTTTTTCTGTTTGAAACAGCAACTGCTCCGAGTTGGATTAAATAATTTGGATTGAAATTGTTTATCGATACTAACTTGTATTTGATATAATTCATTTTATTGCAGTACTTAAAACATTGGTGATTAAACAGATGAAGTCAAGTCGATTTTCGTGCACCACAATGCCAAAGTGCAATATTTTGTTGTGTATTGAGTGCTTCGATAACTTAATAATGTAAACTGAATTCATAAAAGTGTTAGTATGATGGAAAATTACTATGTTACGTTATAAATTAATCTCGCTATTCCAATGTGGTAGGGCCACTTGAACTGATGGACATGTGTCAGGTTTTACGTTTAGTATGACATTTACTGGTAAATAACTGCAACTTTACTCAGCACTATGTGTGGTTCTCTACACTCTTTAAAATTTTCATACAGGTAATAAAACCCTGTTTTTTTGAATGCTTTTCACAGTTTATAAAATCTTACTGAATTTACTGCAAAGTAGGATGTTATGCATTGAAGTTGGCCGCGTTGTTATCCTGGTCAGCAGCTTATTCATAGAGCAATAAATCAATCGTACAGGTATTATCTTGGTTTACTTAGGACACATTTTCAACCAGTTGAATAAATAATCAAATATTCGGATGGTTACATGCTTGATTAAACAGAACTTCTAGCAATTTAATAATCAGGCATCCTAATATCGGATGTTTGCAGTCACTTTTCTCTTCGTACATGCTATGTGTTTTACACTTATACTATGGTAACTAACTGCAATTGTTTACCACAAATGTTGAAATCTAATGTTGGGCTATCTACATTGTTGGTAACATAAATCAACCATCTACTGATCCCAAGTCATGCATCTCTGCTGTTAAGTACTCAAATCAATTATTTAAACCATTCATATCATGATTATATTTCCGGTTCCCATAAAGTTTATATAAGGAATGTAAATATGTTCTTGTGAAGTAACTACCAGCGTGACCAATCTCCGAGATTTATTATCGAATTTCCACCTATCCAATGAAGATAAATCAGACTGAAGATTTATAATATTGATTTAAAATTTTCGACAGCACAATAATGTTGTTATGTGATATGTTTACTAAGGTTTTTCTTTGTTTAAATATTATTCATTAGTTCCTGTTATAATATTTCTTTTCAATCAATGCACACTTCCATTAGTTAATCAATGCACGGGATTATGTCTGTATATTCACTAATCTTGTATATATTGTCACGAGTTTGTCTCATTATTGTTATTTTCTAATATCAAACTATATACGTTTTGTCAGTTGTTTCGTGTGACTATGATATTTATCATGTGTTCAGTGATTACATTACCAACATTAAGGATATCATATGAAGAATGTACAGGAGACTTTTTGAAATGTATTCAAATCTTATAAAACTATTTCCAAATTTAAAAGAACTCTTTAATTATTTAAAGATCTATGGGCTTTCCTTTTTACTAAATAGAAGCTAATATTTTTCGAATATAGAAGTCATCGAAAGTACGATGAATTCTCTGTATGTTTGTCTATGTATTGCTTCAGTTTTTATTTTGTTATTGTCAATAACTTTGCCAAGGTTTAATTATGTTCCACTCAGTTAGTCGCTAAGTTTACAGTCAATTCAACCATCAAGTCATTTCAGAAAATATCTCATATGGCATTATATATACATATATATATGATAACTTTAAGCTTATTACCCCTAATGGACCAAAAGCTACTGACGAGCACTTTGCAGCCCACTCTGTCCTCGTCCTTCCTTTCCAGTCCTATCCGACTGTTGTTCATTCTTAGGATGTCTGCTTCCCATTCTCGCGTATTGTGTGTTCTGTGGTCTTCCTCTTCTTCTTTTTCCTGTTGGATTCCAAGTGAGGGCTTGTCTTGTGCCACAGTTAGGTGCTTTTCTCAATGTGTATTCTTATTCACCTCCAGCGCCACACACCTAAACACTCACTCTGTCCTATGGGAGATATGTATACCTTTGTATACGTTTATCAATTTTATTTTGTGGTTATTATCTTTATTTATCATTTAAGAAAAATTTTTTATACCTATCAGTGAATCACCCATTTGTTTTCTTATTCTATTTCCTGACATTCAGAATAACCATACTGGTGAGTATTCTGACTATCAAAAGCCCCATTCACCGTTGCCTTCGAAACTTAGAGAAGCTCACCTAATTGATTTAGATTTATCACCTAGTACAATCAACTCTCAAAATATAACTTCTACAATGTTAAGTAAGTTACGTAAATGATATGTATTCATATATAGATGAATGTATACTTTTATAAATGACTTTTTCTTGCTTTTGAATAAGCATCGGCTGTAGCTGATACTGTACGGTGGTGGTTGGCCTTCTTTATCGTAATGACTCAAGCTAGCAGCGATAGCTGAAATTGTACTGTATCAAGTTGTTCCTTTGGACAGTGCTTAAATAAAAAGCAACGAATCTTACTGATAGACCAATGTAGTTCCGATGCTGTTAACGTGTTTCGTATGAATAACTAGTCTCATCAATGACACTGCCTTTCCACAACGGATATGAGGTTCAAAAAGACCTCTAAAAAAAAACACCCCACTCTTCTCCCAGGGGTTTTTTCAATGCTGTTTCTGGGGCCTGAAAAGTACACGCCTATTCCATGAATAACTCACAAAAGCATTGTGTATAGGCGACCAATACATTTAAAAATCCGAATTTCATTTTCTGTTTATTATACTTCGCAGTAATATTCAAAAATCTCATGTGAATATATACGTTTTTTTAATCATACTGGTAACTAATACTTACAGTTATCAAATTTTGTACTCATTTCCTCCCGCCCCTGTTTATGTTATATGAAATTTTATCATCCTGTACAATAAATTTTAATCTAAGTTCGGATAAATTCTTTGTATGTTGCTTTCGTTTCTCATTCTGAAATTCTACTTGATAACCAGTCAAGATAATGAAAATTATTTGTCAAAACTACTATTTTCCAAAACAGTAGCATAAAATATAACGACAAAGATATTTTATCGATAATTTATACATTTTCATATTAATTTAGATAGTGAATTATTCCGTTCCTGTTTGAGTGATGTGTCAACTACCACAATGTATGGAGATAATCCCATTCAAAACCAGCCTACTGGTGAGTCAATTAATTACTTTGAAAACCTTATGTCATCAATTATTTACCGGTTTATAATTTTGGAACATATCACCAGAAATGCACCTACGAACTAAATCGTCTTTCACTAAGTGAAGCGTTAATTTTTTTCTCATAAAGTAATGCTTCTACTTCATAGTCCTTGCTCTCACTTATTAAGATAGTTAAGTTGGTCAGTTCATGTTTATCAACGAGAATATTCAATTCGTGTATTATTATTATTGTGTAGCCATACATTTTTATAATTACCGTATCATGAAAACATCAACACCTAGTTTGTTTACTGAGTGTAAACAGGAACTATCACAAATTGTTAGGTAATATATCTATGTTTCATAGCTTATAAGCTCATATATCTATGAATAGTTGAGAAGGTAACTTTCATTTTTAGCCAGTTTGAGAAAAGGTGTAAATCTCAATTCTGGTGTATTCCATAAACTTTTTTTATTTTTCTACCTTTCTTGTAATAGTTTGTAAGTTTACTTATATATCATGTACTACTCGGATTAACATGATAATTTCCTAATATTAATTCACTTTGTCACAATGGTATGTGACTTGATTTAACAGCTAGAAACCATTATTGATACTTATTGTCTTAAATAGTGACTGACATCCAAACTTCCGCAAACACAGTGCAGCTCAAGTGTATAAGTTACTTTTCGAAAATCGAAAGCCTATACTAAACAGTCTAACATTTATATAAAAATCCTACTTGTTATATGAGCTAGTTTCACTTAATATCAGTTATTGTATAGAAATAAGTGACATGAATTGAACACATTTTGTAATTGTTCAAAGCTAGCATTTAGTTTCAACAATTGAATTTTGTACCTCAAATTATCGGTCAACCTTTTGTGCTAAAACAACCGCTTAGTCTTCAATCATGAGAACACAGAATGGCATTCCCCCTGTATTGTCCCTTCTATCATAAGTTTCTAGCTTGACTTATAAATTTAGCTCTACTCCACTGGAATTTATCCTGATAACTTTACTCCACTGCTTTGTAGTGTGCCAGCTTGAAACGATAGTTTCTAACTAACACTGATTAAAGTCCAGTGTACAACAATAAAAATACCAGTTAGTATGAATTTCAGGTAACTAAAATATCACTTTTCATATTGTAGTTCATCTTATGTTTAATATTGATAAAACTTTTGTTATCTATTACTAATTTTCTTTTCTTTTAACAGATCATCATTATTTACCGAAATCTGATCATCTTCATCATCATCATGATTTAGCTCAAGTGACTACAAAATGCAGTATGTCAGTAAATATACTATGTGTTGCTTTTGTGGCATTTTACGAAGATGAATCTGTTTTAACACGTGAACAAATAAATGAAGCGCTTTCATTCTCAATATCATCATCTAACATAAACTCATCTGTATACAAATGTCGGTCAGATGAAGAGAGATTATTTAAGAAAAATGATTCGCCAATAATAAGCGAACACGATTCATCAAATGTTGATGAGATGAATTGCACAAGTTCATCACCGGAACATCAGTCACGTAGTTTTGATGATGATGATAATAAATCTAATAGTCATAGTAATAATAACAAGAAAAAGAATAGTGATCATTCACCTGACTCTCATCCTACAGCAACTGATTGTTCAGCTATACTACCGGGACCATCGATATTCTTTGGACGATTTCATGGTCTCATACCAATTCCTAATTGTCAGTTAAATGATAATAATGATGAGACAGATATGCAGCATTCAAAGTGCCAGCCGATGAATATTAACCGTGAAGATGTAGATACAGGTCGTATTTCTCCTTCTGAGTGGGTGGCACGTTTGAAATATCAATTATCCAGTATGGCTTATCCTCGTGATCATCTATGGTGAGTGTAGAACATTTGCAAGATTATTCTTTTTTGTTTTTTTTGTAAAACTAAAAAATTGCATAGTTCTTGATGAGTTTTTCGTTTATGAGTAAGTGTAAATATCATATCATCATACTTTTTCTAAAAAAACGGCATTTACTAGTTGCAGTTTTCGACTTTCTGGTTAGCGTTTTTTTTTAATTGGCGCCAACATAATCACGCTTGACGGAGAAGATCTGGATTCTTGCATATAACTGGGGAACATCACTGATGAACAAAAAAGATCTTTTGCAGATATAAAGACACGGATTAACAAAGCAAGGACATTATTTCTACAATTGAAGAACATCCAGAACTCAAAACATCTATCAACTAACATCAAAGTTAGAATGTTCAGTACAAATTTTAAGACGGTTCTTTTGTATGCAGCGGAAACTTGAAGAACTACAAAAGCCATCATCCAAAAGATACAGGTATTTATAAACAGTAGTCTACACAAGATACTCTAGATCCATTGGCAAGACATCATCATTAACAACCTACTTTGTAAGAGAACAAACTAGCGTCTAACTGAGAAATAAATTACGAGAAAACTATAAAGGTGGATAGAACATATATTGCGGAGATCACTCAACTGCGTCACAAGCCAAGCCCTAGCTCGGATTTCCCAAAACAAAAGAAAGAAGACAGACCGAAAAACACATTGCCCCGAAAATTGGAGGCCTGCACCAAAGAATGAATATCACTCAGGAACGACTGGAAAGGATATTTGAGAACCGAGTTGGTTGGATAATCCTGATTGGCGGCCTATGTTCCATAAGGGTTAAGAGACATGAGTAAATAAGCTTTCTGCTTTCATGCGTCAAGTCTTAAGTTCAAACCCCTCTACACGCTTTTGAAACTGAGTTATATAGACTCTAAACTTAGAGTATGAGTCATACCCAACTGCTTGGTGAATGAGTTAAGTGTATGATGTTATTGTAAATTTTTTTTACCTTGGTCTTGTAATAATTATCTGAATTGTGTATGTGTGAAGTAATTGCATATTATTTAATCGTTTCCTATATGTTCTAGTTTCTTCTCTTCGTTAATCATAGTTACTTATATTGTTTCCAAAAAATAGTTTGATGCAAATAAAGGGAAACATATGGAGTTTAATTATTGAAACAGGTGTTATCACATGGATTTAGAAAACAAAAAAGGCACATTGGTTTCATATAATTTTTGTAGTTAAGCTGCTTAATGTACAATAGTTAGTTAAAATTTAGACTGATATCACAGAAGTGTTGGATGCCTTTTCATCCATTGTATCATAAACACATCAACAAACCCACAACTTGGAATAATATCCTTGTAATAAGCTAAAAAAAACAAATTACATGGAAGATTTTGAATTGGATTCTCCTTAAAATAAATCTAACCGTATATCAATTACTTTTAAAAAGTCGTTTCAGCTTTTAATGATTATAACTGCATTCTAAAAATCGATTTATTAATGGAAAAAATTGAATACTTGTGGTGGTGTTTTGTTCTCTGAATTGGTTGTTTTGGTTGTGGAGCTTTCATTGTTCTTCTGAACAACATCATCAGCACAAACTTCACAACCAAAACAACCAGCTCAGAGAACGAAACACCACCACAATCATCCACCTGAGCTACATGTTTTCTCCACCATCTCAAATGAATACTACTAAGCATGATTCTTCTACTTAGCTCTGACATAATTGAAGATCGATCACAGTTAATGTACATGTATTTCTTTTTTGGATTCGATTCTGTGTATTGTAAAATTATCTTTTGCTCTTGTTCATTGGGCAATTCTATTCTTTCTTCTCAATAATCTTATCAATAGTCTTATTGCTTTCATAGTCATCTCGGTAATTTTATCTGGTTCTGCTGATATTATGTGGTAACTCAGACCAATAGTTCATACGTACCAAGTTCCATGTTACTCATGACTAATTATTCTGATCATTTTATATAAAATTGGCCATTTTTTACTTATTGATTATTCACATTTAAATACACCGTTGTCTAAATGATTAATGATTTCAAACCTTTTTTTCGTTGATTTTTAATGAACTCTCGATATTTTTGCATCAGCTAATTTTCTATGCATATTCATGTTTTGTGCATTACATGTAACTCTTGTAACTTTAAATACGTGTTTACTTAATAGTTCATAGTATTTTTTTTTCTATTTGTCTTATTAAATTATTAATCAAACATCATTTGTTTTATGTCTTGTTTTTATTTTTTGATGTGATTAACTATTTTTTTTTCATTTTAGTTTTTAGTTAGTTAGTTCATTTATATCATGAAAATAATTATTATTGAAGTCATTAATGACATTTTGATTGAATATGATATTAATATAAGGAAATCATTGGCTGTCAATGTTGAATGTGTATTATGTTTCTGTTCATTATTGTAACAATATAACTAGAACATTTTTGTATTGTATATGTTCTGTATATAGGTATCACTATTTCATAAAAATTTCAATGATTAGAGTTAAACAAACTTATATTATTATTGTGCTAAACACATCGATTCCTTTTATGTCATAATAATGTTATTTCTAATATCACATGAATGATTCCTCCTACCAGAATGGAAGTTGAATGTTAACCTTGAACTAATTGTAAATGGCCAAAGTGTACTACTTATCTCATAATGGCTAATTTACTGACATATGATTATTCTCACCTATAATCTTAGGTTTTTTTTTTCTCATCATACGATAAAGAATCATTCATTGTTTTTCTTAGATTAACGGGGGAAATCACATTAGATTAGAGGTTTGCAACGGTGTTTTATCGATTTATGGTTACCGTAATGTTGGACGCATGAAGCTGTACCCGATAAATGGGTTACATAACTTTTTCTATGTGAACGTTCACAGAATGTCAGAATATTTCCAATAATACTAATCTTACTTGAATTATTCCATTTCCTAATATAGCGTAGTAAGCTCACAGAATATTAGAAAATACCATTAGTAGGTCTGTGGTGCTGTGGTGCGAACTACTTATAAGTAGTATATAACGTGAGTGTCAACGTAAAGTCTTGTAGCATAATATGGGGTGAAGATCAAGAAAGGAAGAGTTAGAGACAATGGAATTTGTATGAAACGCATTAATAGTGACAATGGATTGATGTTTGGCAACAGGAACAGTCCAGTTCGATAGGATGAACTGATCTTTTGCAAATGAATGATTTACGATATGGTTTTCCGATTTTACTGAGTAACTCTGTAATTTTGTTTAAATACAATTCGGTTGCCCCCACCTGTGTTCTCATTCACTACAGGTCTTTACTATTCTTTGTTTTATTTTTAAACTATATGTCGTACAGTAATTAGTGTGTGATTGTGGTATGGCAACTAACTATTTAAGCCTATATAAATTAAAAAATTATACCAAATAATCTGAAAAAAGGCACTCATCCTTTCTTCCGTAATCTAACATCAATAACACGCACACTTCAAAAAGTTCCATCTTTTATAACCACTAAGTGAGATGAACAATATAAGATGGTGATCGTTTTTATGCTTTCTTGACACTGTTTACTCACTTGTAGAATATTTTGTAGTAGGTTCTAGTTTCATAACATCTGTTCTGTGAAAATTTCATCACATTTCAGTGTTAGTCTAACTTTCGAAATATTCCATAAAGCATTCACTTGCTATCTGCAAATTCATGTTAAACTAAATAGATTCAAATTTTTGTAAGTCATTTTTGTAAAACAAAAAAACGCCAAATTATTTAAATACTATTTTAGAAATTAAATCATCATGAAAACCTAACTAATCATTCTTTGTTTTGTTATGATATTGATTTCGTTTCCAATGTTTAATTTTGAATAGTTTCATTTTGTCTATTTTTATTGTTTATACTTCAACTAGGGGTTAACTATATTCACTAACTAGCTGGCTGGTTAACTATAATACATGCGGGTTGTGTCATACTAATAAGAGTCATCAGCTTAACTAGTTGTGTTCTGAATTCCATGTGTGTACATATGTGCAAAATTTTACTTATATCTAATAATATTTTTGAAGTGCCTGTGATTCTGTTAATAATGGTAATAAGTCTCATCGGCTTACATTGGTGTTCCGTATTGATTTTCACTTGATCAAATCAATATTGAACCTTTTTGAAATTGTTTACTTAATTAATTACATGAACAAATCAAAGTCATTCGTTATTTTGTTGTGTCTGTTCAATATAGAAGTTATTTCACATCTGAGAATTTCCATTCTGAATATTTACTGAAGTATCAATCGATCAAAATGTAAGAATTAAGTCAGTTCAATGCTGATAGCCCGGTACTTTAAAATGTCCAACTTTTAATTATTCAGTCTCACGTTCGAAACTATCTGAACATACTTCAGTTTAAGCAATTGGATAGCATCATTATTCCTCACTCTCATAATCAAACAGCAAATGAATTAGTTAATTTAAATTTTGTTAAGGTTAATTTTTGCGTCGTAACATTATTTATCATCAATAAAATAAATTTACAATACTCTTGATTATGAAAATAAACTTTTATCTTTGATTTATTGGTATTCGATGCAGATAAGCTTAGTAGTTGACAGAAAGTCAAATTTATCAAAAAACTGTAGAAATTAGCACTTAAGATATGATGACGTTAACTATGCTTCAAATAAAGTGTTAATCGTATCTTCATTCGAATTAATACCTTATTACTACTTACTTAATCTTTTTTTTCTCAGTCATAACATCGAAAATATCTTTTATGTACAAATAATTAATAAGGTGTTTATTAGACAAAAGTTTACCAGTTTCCAGTCAATGGTTATAAATGCGTTACACATTATTTTTGGGCTGCTACTACTACTGTTACAAATATACTTATTGATACAGGTAAATTAACTAGTCTTCTTTATCAAGAATAGAATTTTATTTGGCTGGCTACCTATATTTTACAATGAAACTTGACAATTTATCAACTAGCTAAACTAATATCTGATTACATTAATCATTAACTTTGACCCGCGATAACAGAATGTAGGGAAGGCTATCTAAACAATATTGCAATTAGTGAGTATATATTTACAAGAATAAATAAGTGGTCTTATTGGCAGATGCTTTTTACAAATCAATCTTTATCGAATTTTTCACAATCTACGCAATATGATAGATGCCAGTAGTGAAGAATCAACTGAAAAGAGATTTATTCCTTAGTTCCGAGATTTGCTTTGCTTATCACATGTCTAGCTTAGATTTCTCTAACTATGAATACTTAGTCATGCCTCATCACATTGCATTGGCCCACCAACTTTCCCCGCTTCACTTCTCTTCCCTTCCTTGCTTTTTGAGCTTGTGTCTGTCTGCGTGAACGATTGCATAAAACGAACTCATTCAATGAGAATTCATATTCGGCTTATTGCCGCTGTCGCGCAAATGAAATTCACCTAAGAATGATATGCAGATATAAAAAGAAAGGTCTATTTCATAGCATATTCATTTGTTCTACAAATTTGAGTCAGATCTTCGGCCACAAAACACGTCTCCCACTATAAATTGCAATATTTACTTTGATAACTGATTTAACAATTTTATGTGAAAGGGATTCATCTTGTGAAAATTGTGATAAATCTTATCTCGTCTACTAAATGTCAACATTGATTATGTAATAATAACCATTAACAGTTTGTAAAAAAGTTTTACACTCAGTTATTTCAAAGTCCAAGGCATGCAAACTAAATATAACTATTATAGAGATCATCAAGACCTAATCCACTCGAAAAATTTCAATTTAAAATAAAACGTTTTATTTCAATGATCATGTCACATATTATTTATCACTATGACTAATAAAATGCATACTTTCTCATGCTACTAGCTTTTCTCAGTTATTAGCTAAACGATTTATTCGTGACAAGTATGATGAAAACTATTTCACGGTACTAAGTGCACATCTTTATGTTTGTATGTATGTATGTATGTGTTCATCTGTATTTTGTGTTTAAAAACGTATTAGCTTTTAGCATTTATTTATTGATTTATTAATCAGATATCGATTTATCGTGTACATATGATATGAATCATTCCAGTGTATCCTTGTGTGACTTTATATTTGTGTTTGTGTGTATGTATGTATGCGAGGTTTTAATATGTCTACACAAACACAGGTATAATCATTACATTTTATTATTAACCGTTATTACCAAAATTTACTTACTGAACTCTAGTTTACTAGAAATCAATATCAAAAGAATCTTCGAGTTATTCAATGAACATTAGTTGTCTTCATTCTTTGATTCCCAACCGTAGATTAGAAAAAGAATTAGAAAAGTATAGTTTGTTTTTGTATATATTACAGTAGTTATCTAAGGTTTCTTTTTTACAGTGAAGAATGTATACTGGCAAATGTTTATTAGAAATCACTTCTTTTAATTGAATAAATTAATGTCTTAAACGAAAATGTTTTTTTTTTGTTTGAAAAATCTGCTACTTAGATTAACCAGTTTACATAATCAATAAAAATAACAATTATTTCACTATGTGTATTAACATCTCTTCAATATATTTTCTTCCCTAATTGATGTAACACTCGCAGTTACACAATATAATTATAATCAATTATTATTGGCTCTGAATTACGCTTTAATTAAAAAAAATATAAAAGTATTTCTAATCATTGAATGAATCCTCTACGTCTAATATGATGAATACTTCGAGTTTGAAAATTCACCAAACATGATGAATCCATAACCTCATTCAATTGTGACCAGTAAGAGTTGCTTAAGAGATAAATTAAACAATGAAAATACAATGTATGAAGTACGATCGAGATGTACAAACAAAAACTACATACGCTATTGAGTAGATAGAATATATTCGACAATGTAACTGACTAATTTGTGTAAATGTTAAATGCCTATTAAGAATTATAGATAATAATTTCCAACTTGTACATTATTTTACTTTCATCATGTACACTTTATTTTGAAAATGAACAAATAGGCCTCCAAGTGTTTCATCTTGAATTCGAACCCCTATAAGTCTGTCTCAATTTTTATGGTCATGCATTAATCATTGACTACGAAGATGTACAAGTCGAATTTATGTGCATAAGTTTGTATGTAGTTTCTCAGTTAGGTTTATGAAGCAATTTTAAATGTTGTCTATCGTTAAAGACTTTAGTCGCCATATCCTAGAATTATTTTCAGTCCATAAAATGCATTCTCGAAATTTTAAATTTTATATGTCTTACATTGTATTCTCTGGTTATAGTTATTCCATTGAACTGATTTTATCTTAGTAACTGCTTATAACTTATCTATGTTGATATTCAGAACTTTAATTGACTAATCTACACCGCCGTGTTTAAATACATCGTAATAGAGTTTTTTTGATATAGCATTTAGTCACAAAGTACAATGTTTTTTATACATGACTAGCAGTGCAACTTAGAAAGTATGTTACATTCTATCTTGAACTCGTCAGTTATATATATGCTTATGTCCTTACTGGACTCAGACTCAGTACCTTTCGCTTCAAACACTAACTTTCTATTGTCTGACGTACAGAGTCCCGGTAACAGAGCGGACAAAGCGTTTGCATTTGCACCAAAAGGTTTGAGGTCCAAAACATGTTTCTTATGTTTATATTTCTCTTACTACTATCTCCTTTGCTTCTTACCCTCCTGCTCATCTTCTTTCCAAAGTAGTGATTTGATGTTTGGCAAGAGAGAGAGATGTGTGAACATTTCTGTCAGGTTCAATTGTTGTGTACGACTGAATTGCAACTAAAGCATAATTTATCTTATTCTATAAACAAAACCTTCTCTACAAACTTGACTTATTGTGTCCTTATTAGAACAAAACTGTGCACTTTACATTTCAACTTTATGCATTTATATTGTTTTTTTTGTACAAAAAACTTTTTTTTTCAAAAATCAACCAATTTTTTTTCTTTTGAAAATAATTGAATTTATGTTATCTTTATTTTGTCTAAATTCATGGCATATATATATATTTTATCTTTATGTATGTTACAGTTTTGTCGGTGGTTTATGGCATATGGAATTTTCTAATAATTACTTATTTATACCAAGTAATCGATCGATAAATCAATACTATTCCACTCAATTACACTTTAATATCCAACTTTTTGGAGTTCATTTATCAGAATGTTTATTTCTTAGTCAAACTACAATGACCACAGCTACTACTCCTACGACTACTACAACGAAAGCAAATGAATTAAAACCGCAAAATATGAAATTGGAATCATTTGAAGTTAGTTTAATTAGAGTTGTTTAAATTATCGATTAAAAATTTGTGTAATAATTCTTTTTCACTAACAATACAAATTACACTAGTAGTTCTACTAATAGTTTTTCAATACAATGATATGATTGTTAGAATGCGAATAAAAAGGTTATATAAAGTTTGATTAAAGGAAATTCTAATTTTGTCTGACAAAATTACTCTCGTTTAACTAATGAATATAGTAAATTTTACTGATTTTGGTATTCAGTCTAAATTAGGTTGTGTAGCTGCTGTTGATTTTAAATCTAATTCAAAGCAACTCTTTCGATAGAAATTCGTTCATTTACATACATATTTTTCATTTTACCTGGTCGTGTGTCTAAATGGTCAATTATAAAATTTACTATACAGTTAAGTTTGTCAATGGTTCATTACTTATTGACTAAAATTAAAAGCAATGAAGAGAAAAACATTTAGATAACAGCTTCAAAATATCATGCTGACACTTCTAACAAACTATTTTGTCAGAAGCAAGATTCAGTCAGTTGTATCATAATTAGGTATCGATTTTTGTAGTAATCGGTTGTTGACAACATGCAGTAGAGATGTACATAATTATTGTGTGTACAAAATAGCCATAATATAGTATGATGCTAGAAATGATGCATTTTCTTCGTTGAGAATTAATTGTTCTCAAACAACTGAATTTATTTGATTTGCATCATTCCGTACCTTTCTGTTTATTTATTCCTACTCCTTCTCGTCTATCTTTTCAGCTTTAATCATACATTTTTCATATTATGATTTTTATACCTTTATTTAATCTTTTTCTCATGTTTGCTTAGTTAACATGAAGTGTGATAATGCAATGTGGTGGTACACTTGTCTCAGATCCTGATGTTAGTGGGACATAGATTGGATTAAAGCATGACTGTGTTGTTGCACGCTGATTGGCTCTTTCGCATCCAATCAGCGTTAGCCGATACTCAGTGAACATTCTACGATCTTCTCACGTAATAAAAGTATAAATATACTAACGCCTATCTTCCATCTAACCTTGTTATTGGAATATAATCTATTTCCTGTTCAACCGTGTTCTGATTTTGGGAGAACGTCTCGAATGAATCTGTGTCCGAGAATACTAAGCATTAGGAATAGTTGGGTTGTAATAAGAGAGAATTATAACACCTGATTTGTAATAATAATTATCTGTCAGAATTATAAGAGCTACTTTTTTGGTTTTGGTTTATATTATAAGAATAATTCATGTAATATCAGTTAAACATTTAGTTGTTCCAGTGCCCTGAGAAACGTTATTGATCTCAAACTTTATCAATACAATTGTATGTGAAAATTTCTTGAATAAAATACATTTTAGTTAAATGTACTAAAGTTAACAAGAACAAAAAAAGCACAATTCTTTCAGTAAATGTAGTTCTAATTTATTTTCATGTTAAATTAAATTACCTAACTGTAATTTCACTGAATAGATTGAACGAAAATTTTCGTTTTTTTTTCGAAAAACAATAAACAATAAAATAATGAATAGCGATATTGATGAAAGACAAAAGAGCTACCATAATCATTGAAAATATTTCACATTGATACGTTGAGGACGTTGGATCCCCTGGAACTCACTTGGTGGAGGTCCTAATTTCGGATTTTATGCTATTGCATATGAGCTGATCAGTTGACCTTGAGATTGCATTCCCCACTAGGAAAATCCTTGACTACCTTTGGTTGATGTGTTATTTTAGTAAGTCATATTTGTGGCTCTCCCAAGGACATTCCTGTGCTCGAGATCAGTATATATCAAGACTTTTCTCCAGTTAGACGTGGCAACGGATTAGAATAGCCTGTCATGTTGTCACTATATCATTGTCTTGCTCTTGTTACCGACTAAGTTAAACTCGTAATAGTTTTTCAAGCATAGCAATTGACGAACATAACATGATATCAAGAGAAAATAGTCGAACTATACTATAATACCATGATGTTGTTTCTTTTTAATTTTTAATGTCGACCATATTCTTCTTATTCTAGTCTGTAATAGAATATGTAGAATATGTTTTGCTAAAATGACATATTTTCTCTTGTCGATCTTTTCTGCCTTCTTTTCTTTAGTTCATTCATACAATGATTTTAACAACAGTGTATGTTGTTTGACTGTATGAATTAATTAATGTTCAATGATAACTTTGATCTTTTTTTTCTCTCTCTCTATGTCTCTTTTGTTTTTCCCTTCCTTAAATTACAGCTGAATTTTTTTTATTCTATAAACAGTTTGAAAGAATTTCCAATTCAATCTTTATTATTATTATTATTATTATTATTGAAATATAATTAGCAGCTTCATTTTTTTTGGTTTTATTCGCAATTTACATAACTAATCACCTTCATTCCATCTGTCATCATAATACCGTGTGTTTGCATTTTAATCTACTACATAAATAATTGAACTAAGTGAGTGAATGCTTCCATTCTTTCGTTCTGTTTTTTCTATATTACTGAAATCGAATGCTCCTTTATGGGTTCAGTGATGTTGTTGTTGTTGTTGTTGTGTGTAAAGCTGAATACAGTTCCTTAATTTAATGAGTTACATTGAGTGAGGATGTATTCATTTTATTTCCTTGATATATAAAATAAGCAATAATTTTTTTTTAAAAAAAATTACAATTTATCACATTATTTGTATTATTTACAAACCATTGGACAATTGAACTACTAAAAAAGTCTATTTTTTAAACAAAATGATCAATATCATGAAAAAAAAACAAAAGACAGGATGCAGGGAGTACCGAGGAAATTGGATAATAGAGAAATTACACATATAAATATAAATATATATCACACGAATACAATATAGACATTGAGATCATTATACCTGGTGTATATGTGCATTAGTCTACAAAATATCATTTGATATGTATCCTCCTATCAATCAAATGTTTTGTTTGTTTGTCTTTTTTGGTTGTAGCGTTTGTTCACTTGAATTATAGCGAATATACTTTTGTTTCAATAATTCATTCATTGATATGATCATGTGTGATGATCGATGGCTATCTACAATGTTAATTCATTATACCTCTAATTGGTGTTTTATAATTACTGTGTTCATTTGTTTGCAGTTGAGTTTGTAAAAGATTTCTCAATAAGTCTGTAATTTCGATTGTTAATACTAACATTATTATTATTATTATCATTTTGTTCAGCAGTGAAATTCAACGGTAAATAATTATTTCTTCTCATGGTTGCTGTTGTTGTTGTTGTTGTTGGCGTCGACTGTGGAATTCGAACACTTCTTAGAGGTTTAACATTCATACGTTTTGGCTTGATTGATGATTGCTGTGATGTTGTTGTCAATGAAATATTAGTAGGCATCAGCGCTGAATTAGTTGTATTATTCCTATTCCGTAGTTCATCACTTTCTTCATGAGTTGATTTATTCATGATATCTGAGAGTAATAATATTTCATTGATATTCGATTTATTATTATGGTTGTTATTGAACATGAATGATGATGGTGATGATGGTGACGTTGAAGGCAGTGGTGGTGGTGGCGGCGGCGGCGGTGGCAATGGTAATTCATAATCAATTAACCAGTATTTGTCCGATTTTTTAGGTTTATGCAATTCTGATCCACTAGCGGAATTAGTATTATTATTAGTAGTATTACGGTTGTTGTTGTTGCTGTTATGTTTACTATTGTCGTAGCTTTTCTTATCAGACAGTGTTTGTATTCTGTACATATTATCTCCTGTTATATGAAGTCTTTGATGTCTTGGTGGTCTAACTGGTTTATTATTAATATTATTATTATTATCATCGTCATTGTTGAGATCAATTTCAGTGAGTTGATTAGTAGAAGTAATAGTAAGGGGTAGTGTGTTTGCACTAGTTTTAACTGGATTATTCAAAGTGTTTGTAGTTGGCGGTTTCACAGAAACATTTGAAGGTAGTTGTTGTTGCGGTGATGATGAGTTGAATGGATTCAATAATATCATATTAGGATAATTCATCTGATCAATATGTATTAAGTCAGTGACATATTCGTCAACTGGTGATTTTTTAGTGATTGTTTTTATTTGCTTGTTAATCGATCCTGTTGGTTTCTCATTGAATGATAAAACTGGTGACTCGTTGTTTGTGTATTTATCATGGTGCATTGGTAGATAATCTGTATGTTGTTTGATATCTTTCGGTCCTGTAAATGGTGTAGCATATTCAGGTTCTTGTTTAGGTAATAAGAAAAATGGTTTTGGTAATTCAGGACCTAGAAATTTCACATCATTTTCACTGTGCACTTGTCGTGGTTTATGCTGTGTCTGTGTCGGTTGTGGACGACTGTTTCCTGTCTTTGACGTTCGATCACGCTTTAACCACTTAAGTGATTGTCCTATTTTATGTCGACTTGCAGACAACCAATTATTTCTTAAGCTTATAATACTCTTCTCATTATTCTCTAGTCTAGCTCGTGCAGACACTATTAGTCTAGTTCTTCTAAATACACTTTTTAAACTTGCTCTACTACTTGTTAGCACAGATTTTCCAGGCTTTATACTTGCGAATTCATTGTTGTCTAGACTTTTATCTCGACATGGTAGGGCACTATGACGACTGCTACCAGTGGATAAAAGAGAATGTTTCTTTTTCGTATCATAATGTCTTAGTAAATTAATCGATGCTTCTGCTGGCTGATGCATTGATCGTTCTTCCATCTTCTTAATAGCTAATTGTTTGGCACTCCTTCGTAGATGAAACGGCATCATTTCAGTTGGTAAATGTGTTGGTGATTCAATTCTTGTATTCTGTTGTAAATCTCCTATGCTCTTGCTTTTACGTGGTGCAGGTAATGGCGGTACCAGACTATCAGGTGGCGATCTAAGCGATTTCGCTGGCTGATTATTATTGATTTGTAAAAGAGTTTGGACACTTGCACTTGTCTGTAAAGGTTTTTCAATTCTGTTACTATTCCATCGTCGAAAATGTGAATTCATTAGTATGTCTGGTTGACTATTTTTTCTTA